TAAATGCACTGGAAAACGTATCAGAAATTTTCCCTCTGAGGACAGACTGAGGACCCTGAATCTGCACTCTCTAGAAAGGCATAGAAATAGGGGGAATATGATTGTGTATTAATGGAAAACAGGAATAAATAAAGGGAATGTAAATAGTGTGCTAAAAATATCTAACAAAGACAGGACTCGCAATAATGGTTTCAAGTTGGAAAAGTTCAGATTCAGGAAGAATATAGGAAAGCACTGGTTTGGTAATAGAGTTGTGGATGAGTGAAACTCCCGAGTACCGTCATAGAAGCTAAGACCTTGTGTAGTTTTAAAAATAGGATGGACAAATACATGAATGGGTGTGGGTGGGCGTGAGTTGGACCTGACCAGTTTGTGCTAATAGGTCTGATGCCGTGCTCCTTCCTCAAGTGGATGTGACTTGACTTGTCCTGACTAGGTGGGCATTACACAGGTAATGAATGGCCTGTGAGACCTGGTCATAATGGGAACTGGAGCAAACAAACTCAACAGTAGACTATAATGTACGTTTTGCCTTCACCCACAATATACAGGTATGTACACTATGTACAATATATACAGATAGAATAATAAGTGTACACCACGGTGACAGATGGCAAACCAAAGCCAGAGAGAGTGCACCATAATCAACCAGCAGATAGGCAAGTCTGTCAATGCTTACAAGTGCACCACGCTGCTTCAATTTTAACGGGCTTGCCTGTGACTGGTCATTGAACCAATGTACTGATTTAACGATGGGTACCCTATCGGTCGTTTAACCCTTCACCCGGTTTCCGGTTAGAAGGCAGCCTGTATGGGAGTGAGACACACGCCGAATAAATTGTAACATATTTTGCATGCCACAGTGGGTCATTGGTTTAAGCCCGGAGGTTACTTGGACCTGCCTCGCACGGGCCAGTAGGCATCCTGCAGTGTTCCTACTTTCTTATGTTCTTATATGGGTTTAGCACTTCATAGAAGTAATGATAATGTATAACACTTATGGGTTTAATGCTTCTCGTGGTTATAATGTCGTGCTAAATAGGTAAAACTTGCAATTTTGGCTTAAATAGCAATACTCTTCTTGCTGAATAAGGCAAGCGAAAATTTATGTATGCAATAATTTCGCAAAAGTCACTCTGAATCTAATGAAAAAAATATACTTCATTGTGTTTGTTTATTAATTTACTGTAAATTTGTCTAAATATATTTAGTTGGATTAGGCCAAATTAAATTGCGTTCGTTATAATGAGGTAAGTTTTCTATTTTTTTTTTTTGGGTACAAAATTATTAATTTTTACATTAACATAAATGAAAAAAAATATATATCTATAAACGTACGAGAGAAAAATTTAGAAAGGACTTAATTTTAAATGAGTTCTTGCTAACTGACCAGTTTTACATATTCGGCACGACACACACACACACACACACACACACACACACACACACACAGATCAGATGGGGACACCAGCAAGGAATACACCAAGTGTTGGACGACATACATACAGATGAGGAGGTGAAGAAACTGCTAAGGGACATCGATACCTCAAAGGCAATGGGACCGGACATCTCCCCGTGGGTCCTTAGAGAGTGAGCAGATATGTTGTGCGTGCCACTTACCACAATCTTCAACACGTCCCTGGAAACTGGGCAACTACCTGAGGTATGGAAGACGGCAAATGTAGTTCCCATTTTTAAAAAAGGAGACAGAAAAGAGGCACTAAACTATAGACCTGTGTCATTGACGTGTATAGTATGCAAAGTTATGGAGAAGATTATCAGGAGGAGAGTGGTGGAGCACCTGGAACGGAACAAGAGTATAAATGCCAACCAGCACGGATTCATGGAAGGCAAATCCTGTGTCACAAACCTTCTGGAGTTTTATGATAAAATAACAGAAGACACGAGAGAGAGGGGTGGGTTGATTGCATCTTCTTGAACTGCAAGAAGGCGTTTGACACAGTTCCTCACAAGAGATTAGTGCAGAAGCTAGAGCATCAGGCGCATATAACAGGAAGGGCACTGCAATGGATCAGAGAATACCTGACAGGGAGGCAACAACGAGTCATGGTACTTAATGATGTATCACAGTGGGCACCTGTGACGAGCGGGTCCCACAGGGGTCGGTCCTAGGACCAGTGCTATTTTTGGTATATGTGAACGACATGACGGAAGGGTTAGACTCAGAAGTGTCCCTGTTTGCAGATGATGTGAAGTTAATGAGGAGAATTAAATCTGATGAGGACCAGGCAGGACTTCAAAGAGAATTGGACAGACTGGACACCTGGTCCAGCAAATGGCTTCTCGAATTTAATCCTGCCAAATGCAAAGTCATGAAGATAGGGGAGGGCACAGAAGACCACAGACAGAGTATAGGCTAGGTGGCCAAAGACTGCAAACCTCACTCAAGGAGAAAGATCTTGGGGTGATATAACACCGAGCATGTCTCCGGAAGCACACATCAATCAGATAACTGCTGCAGCATATGGGCGCCTGGCAAACCTGAGAACAGCATCCGATACCTTAGTAAGGAATCGTTCAAGACACTGTACACGTGTATGTCCAGGCCCATACTGGAGTATGCAGCACCTGTTTGGAACCGCACTTGATAAAGCACGTCAAGAAACTAGAGAAAGTACAAAGGTTTGCGACAAGGTTAGTTCCAGAGCTAAGGGGAATGTCCTATGAAGAAAGATTAAGGAAAATCGGCCTGACGACACTGGAGGACAGGAGGGTCAGGGGAGACATGATAACGACATATAAAATACTGCGTGGAATAGACAAGTTGGACAAAGACAGGATGTTCCGGGGAGGGGACAAAAGAAACAAGAGGCCACAATTGGAAGTTGAAGACACAAATGAGTCAGAGAGATATTAGGAAGTATTTCTTCAGTCATAGAGTTGTAAGGCAGTGGAATAGCCTAGAAAATGACGTAGTGGAGGCAGGAACCATACACAGTTTTAAGACGAGGTTTGATAAAGCTCATGGAGCGGGGAGAGAGAGGGCCCAGTAGCAACCGGTGAAGAGGCGGGGCCAGGAGCTAAGACTCGACCCCTGCAACCACAAATAGGTGAGTACACATACACATATACATACACACACATACATATATACACACACACATATACACACACACACACACACACATACACACACACATACACACACATACACACACACATATATATCTCAACACACCGGCCGTATCCCACCGAGGCAGGGTGGCCCAAAAGGAAAAATGAAAGTTTCTCCTTTTACATTTAGTAATATATACAGCAGAAGGGGTTACTAGCCCCTTGCTCCCGGCATTTTAGTTGCCTCTTACAACACGCGTGACTTAGGGAGGAAGAATTCTGTTCCACTTCCCCATGGAGGTAAGAGGAAATAAACAAGAACAAGAACTAGAAAGAAAATAGAAGAAAACCCAGAGGGGTGTGTGTATATATGCTTGTACATGTATGTGTAGTGTGACCTAAGTGCAAGTAGTAGTAGCAAGATGTACCTGAAATCTTGCATGTTTATGAGACAGACAAAAGACACCAGCAATCCTACCATCATGTAAAACAATTACAGGCTTTCATTGTACACTCACTTGGCAGGACGGTAGTACCTCTCTGGGCGGTTGCTGTCTACCAACCTACTACCTAGGATATAATAATAATAATAATTTATATATATATATATATATATATATATATATATATATATATATATATATATATATATTATATATATATATAATATATATTTATATAAATATATATAATTATATCCACTTCTACCTCTTTTCTCTTTAATCCCATTCATGAATAAGTTCTCAATATATTTTCTTCATTACCTCTGCCTCTTCACTAGCTTCTTCCTACTTCCATTATTGTCCATTTGCTTCTGCTTATTCTCCTCCTCCATGATTCACCAGTACTCTCCTGGCCCGGGTAGTTTCCAGGTGGTGACGCGGCCTCGGCTCCCTGTCTAGGGAGTGTCGTTATTCTGTTTTCTTATTTCTCTCTAAATATATTTTAACATTTTTTTCATGAGGAAGTGCTAAACCAGTAATGATTATATAACACCTAGTGAACGGGAAGCATTCAGGTTCAATCCTAAGAATTGGAAGATAATCCCGTTCCTTGGATTAAGAGCTCAACTCTCTCCCCAGCATAGTCACCTTCCCTGTGGGAACATCTCTCAATTTTTTTATCAGCAAAATTTTGCTGATGACTCAGTGTTGTATTTGCTCTTATGCATTCCTCTATGAATTATTTTAAGTTATTCTTTCTTCTCTATGCTCATACTTTCTTCATCATTTTTAAATTAAAAAAAAAAGTTCTTTGCTCATTATTTCTCCAGTTCTGCCATTGTTATCTCAATATTCCTCTGCATAATTATGAAAAATGGTAAACAATATCTACAAGACGAATAAGATGTGTGCAACAGTAGGGTATCTTAATTGTTGAAACGTTCCGCCTACACAGTAGGCTTCTTCAGTCAAATACAGAGGAGATTAAATATGGAGGCACACCTCTTGTGATATGGCACTTTCTAACTAGCCAATCTCCCTCACTTAGTCATTCACTTTCCCTTTTTTTTTTTTTTTTTTTTGGCTCATTGTCGAACCGCTGTATAGTCCTTGTGGCTTAGCGCTTCTTTTTGGTTATAATAATAATAATAATCATTGTCGAACCACTGATAATGTAGCCTCCATTACCTTTGTAACTTGTTCAGCTATCATAACTTTGGGTCCCCGTCCCTGGACCCATTATGTACCTCTGTAATCTTTTGACTACCACCCACACCATGGGTATGAGGTTCATAATAAACATTAACATTCAAACACTTGGGTTGAATGACCCATACAGGTTCAGCACGTCATCAAAATATTAAGAATTATCATATTCACACACACACACACACACACACACACACACACACACACACACACAAAACTAATTAGATGATACAGTACCTGTAATTATAATAATAATTTACCCACTGATACCAGGATTGAGAAACACGCTCAAGATCACACAAAGCCGCCCATCCTGATGTTCCCTGAGGGAATCTGCAACAACAACACCGTGGTTCTCCAATTTAAGAAAGGCGCATTTGAGGTGATACTCGCTTGTTTTGGTTCCTCCAGCATCAAAATAATCACAAGCACTAAATCTATATGGGTTACACATTGGCAGACAGTAGAAGGAAGGCTAAGGGAAAAGTTATTTGGTGCAATAAATCAGTTTTCCCCCAAAATTCTTGAAATATATTGAAAGTGGGCGTCTTTTTTTTTTTTTTTTTTTTTTTTTTTTTTTTTTTAAGAAAGGAACCCTTTAAAAGAGGGTTGTTCATGCTGGTGAGAGGCTCTTGGTCCAAGGAATTGGATCTCCCCTCCCCTTCCTTCTACTGAACATGAATGCTTCTAGTTTTCCCAGACGTTGTGACCCAACAGATTTAGCACAATAATGTAATAAATATTAATAAGAATGATTAGGAAAGGTGTGTTAAAAGTAACTTTCCATAGGGTTAGATTTTTAGTTGAAAAAATGGAGGTTAGGTTAGGTAAAGTTCATCAGGAAACAGGACAAGTGCTGACTGACTGACTGGGGTCTTGGTCAGATGATAACCAGCCATTGGAGCTTTTGATCATCTGACCGAGACCTTCCGTTGGCTTACCGGCTCACCCCTTTAAAAATTATGGTCATAGTTATTATTATTTTTTTTAAATGAAATTCTCATTTGTTGTACAGGTTTATTTTTTAGCATTGATCATTGCGAGTCAACTTATTTAAGAAAGAAAACCAAGATGTTTGTTTCACCACATATGTAAATGATTAACATTATTCTTTCATTATTTACTGCAATTTGCACACACACACACACACACACACACACACACACACACACACACACACACACACACACACACACACACACACACACACACACACACGATCAAGAGGTACGTGAGGACCTCAACACGAGATTCAAGAAAATATTTACAGTAGAGACAGGAAGGGTTCTTGGACGACAGCACAGAGGGGAACACCAACAAGTGTAGGATGACGTACACACAACTGGGCAGGAGGTGCAGAAGCTGCTAAGTGACCTTGATACCTCAAGGGCGATGGGATCGGACATCTTCCCGTGGGTCCTTAGAGAAGGAGCAGAGATGCTGTATGTGCCACTAACCACAATCTTCAACACTTCCTTTGAAACTGGGCAACTACCCGAGGTATGGAAGACGGCAAATGTAGTCCCCATTCTTAAGAAAGAAGACAGAAACGAGGCACTAAACTACAGACCAGTGTCACTGACATGTATAGTATGCCAAGTCATGGGGAAGATTATCAGGAGGAGAGTGGTGGAGCACCTGGAACAGAACAAGATTATAAACGACAACCAGCACGGATTCATGGAGGGCAAATCCTGTGTCGTAAACCTTCTGGAGTTCTATGACAGCGTAACAGAAGTAAGACACGAGATAGAGGGGTGGGTTGATTGCATTTTCCTGGACTGCTGGAAGGCCTTCAACACATTTCCTCACAAGAGATTAGTGCAGAAGCTGGAGGATCAGGCACGTATAACAGGAAGGGTACTGCAATGGATCGGATAATACCTGACAGAGAGGCAACAGTGAGTCATGGTACATGATGAGGTATCACAGTGGGCGCCTATGATGAGCGGGGGCCCACAGGGGTCAGTCTTAGAACCAGTGCTAGTTTTATATGTGATTGACATGATGGAAGGGATAGACTCAGAAGTGTCCCTGTTCGCAGATGATGTGAAGTTAATGAGGAGAATTAAATCAGATGAGGATCAGGCAGGACTTCAAAGAGACCTGGACAGACTGGACACGTGGTCCAGCAACTGGCTTCTCGAATTCAACCCTGCCAAATGCAAAGTCATGAAGATTGGGGAAGGGCAAAGAAGGCCGCAGAATATAGGCTAGGTGGACAAAGACTGCAAACCTCACTCAAGGAGAAAGATCTTGGGGTGAGCATAACAATGAGCATGTCTCCGGAAACACACATCATCCAGATAACTGCTGCAGCATATGGGCGCCTGGCAAACCTGAGAAGAGAGTTCCGATACCTTAGTAAGGAATCGTTCAAGACACTGTACACCGTGTACGTCAGGCCCATACTGGAGTATGCAGCACCAGTTTGGAACCCACACCTGGTCAAGCACGTCAAGAAATTAGAGAAAGTGCAAATGTTTGCAACAAGATTAGTCCCGGAGCTCAGGGGAATGTCGTACGAAGGTTGAGGGAAATCGGTCTGACGACACTGGAGGACAGGAGGGTCAGGGGAGACATGAGAACGACATACAAAATACTGCATGGAATAGATAAGGTAGACAGAGACAGCATGTTCCAGAGAGGGGACACTGAAACAAGGGGTTACAAATGGAAGCTGAAGACTCAGACGAGTCACAGGGATGTTAGGAAGTATTTCTTCAGTCATAGAGTTGTCAGGAAGTGGAATAGTTTAGCAAGTGATGTAGTGGAGGCAGGAACCATACACAGCTTTAAGACGAAGTATGACAAAGCTCAGTGAGCAGAGAGAGAGAGGATCTAGTAGAGGACCTAGAAAAGGCGGGGCCAGGAGCTGAGTCTCGACCCCTACAACCACAATTAGGTGAGTACAGTTGAGTAAATACAGTGTCAGTGTTGGAAGTTGGTCACTGGAGAGCCTCAGTGACGTTAGGAAGCATTTCTTCAGTCTCAGAGTGGTTGGGAAGTGGAATGATGTTGGTGAGCGTGATGGAGACAAGCTCATTCATAATTTTAAAACAAGGTATGACAGGACCGACAAAACTAAGGGGGGAGTGCATCTGAAGAGTGACATATTAAGCTGCAGGGCCAGGATCTGAGAACTGACCCCTGCAACCATAAATGGGTGAGTACACACAGTTAACATTAAATATTTCCTTACATAAGGGTGCCTTCACCAAATTTAACTTCAATGACAAAAAACATGTCCTAAATTAAACAAGCTGGAAAGATCTTAAACAACACTTAAGCCGAACCTTTGAATAGAAAGAATTAACTCTGTAGCATTTGAAGAAAACCGAAGAGAAGATGTAAACTAGAAAGAGAGATGCTCCCTATAGGGGCGAAGGTGAAGAATCAAAGTGCTGGTGAAAGGGGCCAGTAAATGAAATAAGAAAGGAGGCACTGGTCAGAGAAATAGCAGATATCTAACTTAAGCTTAAGGAATCATACAGGAGACAAGAAACACAGGAAGAACTTAGCCATAAATGAAATTGAAAAAAATACTAAACCAAATCTAAGGCAAAAACCACATCCCTTCGTAAAGGATATGGGGCATACACAGATGACAGCAAAGAAATCAAGAATACTGAAGTCTCAATATGATTCAACGTGTATTGAGCTGTTAAGCAAACTAAGGGTCGACAATCTAAGTTATTTTTTATGACCGAGACTCAAAACTTGGTTAATTAAAAATTTCTGATATTATCCTAATACCACAAGACTAAGTAAAAGCCATAAATGATATTCACATACACTCTTCCCCAGGCCAAGACTAGTGGAACTCCATGTTCATCAAAAACTGCAAAAAGCCCCTTTCATGTGCCTTAAGCATTCTTTGGAGAGGGAGCATGGACACAGGGGTCATCCCACAATCACTAAAAACGAAAAGATATGGCCCCACTCCACAAAGGTGGCAGTAAAGCAATTACAAAGAATTACAGACCGATAGCACCAACGTCTCATTTAAAAAAAATCTTTGAAAGAGTTCTGAGAAGCAAGATCGCCAACCTCTCAGATACTCATCAGTTGCACAATCCAGGGCAGCGTAGGTTTAGAGCAGGTCGCTCCTGCCTATCCCAGAGATGCAAGCCACAGCACCGTATCCTCCTTTGTGGATGATACTCGAATTTGCATGACAGTGTCATCCATCGAAGACTGCAAATCTCCAAGCGGACATCAAGCAAATCTTTAATGAGCCGCAGAAAACAATATGAAGTTCAATTAAGACAAATTTCAGTTACTCTGTTATGGAAAACTCTTAGACATAAAAGCAGTATCAGAGTTTGAAACTAATTCCAACCTCACAATAGAGCGAAAAAATAATGTGAAGAACCTGGGAGTGACAGTGTTCGAGAATCTCACTTTCAAAGATCACAGGAATGTATTTACCACATTATTATTATTACCAAAAAGAAGCGCTAAACCACAAGGGCTATACAGCATGTATTTACCACAGCTGCTAAGAAAATGATAGGATGGATGAGAAACTACAAAACTAGAGATGCCAAGCCCATGATGATTCTCTTCAAATCATTTGTTCTCTCTAGGCTGGAATATTGCTGCACACCAATGACACCTTTCAAGGCAGGCGAAAATGTAGACCTTGAGAATATTCAGAGAACGAACTTTCACAGCACGTATAAGTATGATAAATTATTATTATAATCAAAAAGAAGCGTTAACCACCTAAATTACTGGGAAGGCTAAAGTCTTTTTTTTTTGTTTTCCCCGGGAACACACGAAAAAGATACATATATACTTTGGGAAAAATCCTAGGGGAACTAGTCCCAAATCTGCCACAAAAAATTGCTTTCTACGAAAGCAAAAAGATCGCCGGGAGATGAAATCTCCCCATGAAAAGAAAGGGGCGCCACGAATAACTGAAGGAGACAAGTAAGTGTCAGGGATCCAAGACTCTTCAACTGCCCCCACTACATAAGGGGGGATCCCCAGTGACCCCGGGCTGTCTTAAAGGACTAGACAGGCACCAAAGTCGTACCTGGGGTTTGTACGTCACTTACGTGGGCACAGTAACCCCCGGGTTGTCAGGCCCTGATCCCCCGCGAGGTTGGTCCGGACTGAGCCTAGGGGCATTGACCCCGAAAACATCCCCCCTCCGGGTTTAACTCTATTAAACCCCGCTTCAGAGGAAGCTGGACGGGCCAAAAGTCAGTACCGACCATTATTAAAATAAAGGGGAAGCGCAAAACTCTGGATTATGCAGTGCCTGGGGGAGGGATGTGAAAGGCATTCAGGCTTAATTCACAGAACGGGCCAGATCCAACCCCTAATAAAGACCCCTCACCAGCATCAAGGAATTTCCTGGAGGGGACCGACCAG